GATTTTTTCAATGTGCTATTAAATCCCACCTCAAACTCAATGGCAAAACCTGTCTGTATGGAATCACTTAAAGGGCGGTAGTCGTCGCGCAGCGCGTGTTAGATTTTTTTGTATAAATAAACAATATATTTTCCACGCGTTGTATACGTCGCTATGAGTTCCATAATATTGAACAGGACGCGGCACGACGACCACCGCCCTTTAAGAACACAAAGATAGAGTATGTACAGTAAGAACTGTTGTAGTCCGCATCTGTTAATACAGAGATTAATAAACATGGTGGCCAGGTGTGAATGCTGGGGAGGATACTGTTCTACATACAAGTGAGTCTCATCATTCACAGTTTAACCCAACATTTATTTATTTTTTTACTTTTTTTATTTATTTTTTGGAAGATAACTATATAAATACATGACATTGTACAGAAAACGAAAAGAATACCTATGTATAGGAAAAGGAAGAAAGAATTCAAATCTAGTAATCGTTCTAGTTAAAAGTATTGTTCAAACGCACCACATTTCTCTGCAAGCTCAGATTGATTTCATACATGCACTTTGATTTTCAACAGTATACACAGATTTAACAAAACAGCTTGAAACAATTCATGTTGATACTATTTCCCAACATTTTACAACGATAGATGTAGTATCGACTCATCTGGAGAAATGCATTAAATAATATATTGGCATGGTTTTCGACATCACCAAGGATACATTTCATTGCATTTAATGATACTTTGGTATGCGTTATAGTACGATATCACTGTAATGCGCATGACCAGAATTTTGAAATAAGAACGCAATCCCAGAAGAGATGAAAATAGTTCTTTATTACTTCATTACAAAATGTACATACAGGATGATCATCAATCATATTCCATGACTAAAAAGACGATCTGATGGCAAACATTTCATAATAAGCTTGTATTGAAAATATCTTAATTTGGAATCCATTGTTATTCCGTAAGACAGCGAAAACACTATTTTCCACGGAATGCTGCAGTCAAAAATGTCATGCCAATAGTGTTTAATATGCAAAGAGATATCATTTGAACTATGCAAATTCAATAAATACGTGTAAATATCTCTGTTAATTTTATCACCTGTTAACCATGTTTGTTTGCGCATACTAGTATTTGGCATACAGACCCAAATCTTTTCATTAGTCGGCTTAGTTTTTTTTCCAAGCAGATGGGGTGGCTGATACCAACTGATTATACTCGTGATGTGTACATAACTTACCAAACTTTACAATAAATTCATCATATTTCATAAATGTACAAGACTCACCAAATAAATCATTGACAAAAATAATACCAGCATCTATAAATTGTTTCCATACAATTGGGTTCCTGTTGATGCGCACATTGGAATTGTTCCTAATTATTTCCTGCAAAATGTTATCTATTTTATCAATTGGAGTATAGTTATATTTCAACCATGGATAAATAATTTCTTTCAAAAAAGCGGAAGGTAAATTTGCGAAAAAGAGTAAAATACCACCAAATTGATCTAGTATGGCTTTGTAATATACACTACAGAAAGATTTTGTATTACAATAAAGTCTCGGCATCCAAGCTGCTTTTAATGCAGCATTGAATTCTCTTAAATTGGTTAGGTTGAGGTCACCTTTATCATATGGTTTGTAGACATTGTCTTTTTTAACCCAATTACGTTTACCTCCCTGTAAAAACTGGAAAACTATATTATCATATTTTTGAAAAAAGTCGCGTCCGGAAAGGGGAGAGACATAAACAAGTAAGTAAATTGCGAAATCGCCAAAGATCTGATAATAGTTATTTTATCATATACCATCAGACCCATGCCTCATCCATGGCTGCAACAACTTTCTCACTTTTTCAATGCGATAATTAAAATTCAATGTAGTTATTTGTGAATAATCAACAGGAAGATGTATTCCAAGCACATCAAGAAAACCGTCAGCCCAGGTTACAGGGTGAGATGTTTCAACAGTAAAGTTTGTATTTTTTATAGACCCAACTCTCAAGACTTTGCATTTATCATAATGTGGTTTCAACCCAGAAATAATAGCAAAATTAGACAAAATATTTAGGAACGAGTTTAGTGATTCACAGGAAGGATACGTTGGGAAATTCGTATCATCCGCATATTGAGAGATCTTATTCTCTATGGGACCTGTATATAAACCTTTAATTTTGTCACAGCGTCTCACTCGATTGGCCAAAAGCTCAACACAAATGATAAACAAGTAAGGTGACATGAGGCAACCCTGTCTAACACCACGGGAGAGACCAAACTGCATTGAAATATTACCATTATTGATTATACGGCTACTAATATCCCGGTACATGAGTTTCACCCAGGTTACAAATGATTGACCAAAATTAAAATATTCTAAACTTTTTATAATTAAATCCCATCTCAACTTATCAAATGCTTTTTCAAAATCAGCTATAAAGACCAATCCCGGTTCATCATTTTGTTCATATAATATATTAAAAGTAAATAAATAAATAAATAAATAAATAAATAAATAATCATCTAGATTGGAAAAAACAAGAAGTAGTTCAACAATTGCTGTATGAGGGCGCTGATAGTATATACTAGTCCCTATCGTGAGCCATGGTCGTGAGCGGCCCTTGCATTTTTGTCTTCTTTGCATATGCGTATATTTCAACAAATATGGCAGTTGCAATAATTGATGTCAAAATTGTTTCTATATTTCGGGATAAGTCAACAGTGTTAAATGAAAATATGGGCATTCTCGCTGAAAATAATGTGATATTTTAATATTTGAAAAAAAAAAGTTTACAATTTGACAGTAACAATCCAAAGACCACAACGGAAAAACACATGTTGTTATTTGTTATTAAATACTCTGTAAAGAGAATCTCAATATTTTAATATTTTATAGTATTTAATAATACACCACTTTGTAAAAGTATATACCTTGTTGTTGCACAATTGTGTTTTTTGTAAGAACAAAAATAAGCAAAACTGAAAAAAAATTATAAATGATTTTGTGAATCCCATCCAACAATTATCAAGATTTATAGCTACTTGTCTTGTTTTCATATACGTAAAATTACTAGCAACGTTTTATTATAAATTCCCGCCAAATACCGTATTCCCTGGTGGGCGTGTTCCCGTCTTGGGGTAGACCAACCCTGCTTCTCTATGTAGCGTGACATCAGAGCTCATTTGCATAATTACTTGTAACCTCGGGAGCTCCACTGAACATTGGTTATAGGCAGAGTAATAAGGGAGTTGATCGTAGGTTGTGAAAATCCCTCGATCTCCGCTGTTTCAGCAGCACATCGTAGATGATTTAGGTGAAATTTCGGTAGATGTATAGGTCAAGTCAGCGCCCGAGGTGTTCGGACGTTTAGGGTAGCGTTGTATTCGCGAATATGGCCACGTTGTTCAAAAATGAACCGCTGGAAAGATTCTATGATATCGGCGAGGAGATCGGCAGGTAAGCAGGAATTATTGTTAAAATCATAGTATTGACGACGCAGTGTTCGTCGATTGCTAGTATTGAGTGTTTCTTCTTTACGCAAAATTCATGTTGGACATTAAATAAAGGTTTATTTTGTAAATGCCGTGGACGTATGCGTAGAGACGGCGCCAGTTGTGTAGTTTATTACGTCCACGGTCCAGTTTAGGCGTTTCAAGCAAAATCACGAATGGACACGAAAAACATGCACAGGAATAAAAAAAAATAGCAATCGGACACGCTTTAGCAATTTTCGACCTCTTACCTAGTTAAACAACGTGTTGTGAACAAGTTTGACACACTGGGGTGAACACCAAACGTTCGTCTACAGGGGTAGCGTTAATGGTTAATGAGCGAAAACAACACGTTTTTTTTGTAGATGTTTAGCATTGTTAGAAACTGTGTCAACGACCATTATTGTGCTCTGTGCGCGAAACACAATAGCGCTGCGACAGCTGATGTTATTCTTTTCTCTGTGACAATACTAGAATCATCCCGAGTCTCACAGTCACTCTGATTCACCGTTATGTGCCTGTCGGCCTGTGACGTAACAATGAAATAGTGCAAAGTGATTTGACCCAAAAACGTCCGCTTCAATACGGCTAGTCTAAGTTGTTCTGTTTTTAATGATTGTTCTATCCCATGTGACTTGTCTGCAAATAAAATACAGAACAGAACATGATCACTGTGATTGTCCCAGGGAGGAATGATCCACCCATGCATTTACCCCAACGAATACTTCTTCTTAACATTTTAAAAAACAAAATAAAAATGAGAAAATCCATTATAAATTGTATGCTTATTTACAAGAACGCAAACATAATGGAATACTGTACATTTTTGCTCCTATAAATTTTCCTGTTTTGATGATGTAAGGGTGTAACCAGTAATTAGGATAACGAAACTGTTGACTCCTCGTCTTGAAATGACCCTAGTGAAAAGTTCATTACAAAAGAATGACCTTAACTGACTTCTAGAAAATGGAATTCATGAAAATTCTCTTGTGAATTTAAAGCTGTTTTTAGGCATCTAACAAGAAGAAGAAGAGTATAAGATAAATTAAACATTAATGTTTTGGAAGTTGGATTTCCCAAAGCTTTCTTTCAAGAACCATCTTGAAAATTGGAAACTTTAATACATGTACATTCTTTAAAAGTACAGAGACAATCATTAAATCAACTTTGTAGTTGTAATGCTTCAAGGGATATCCAGGGTAGTGTTGAAGTATGCCTATATAATTACCTATGTATGATAGCATGGCGGTACCTCAATGATCATAGCTAGATATAACACATCACATGGATGGCAGAGCATTGAAATGACATGCATCTATTAATATCAATTTTTGTATGTGGCAAAACTATAATTGAAATGCTTATTGACTGATGGACGCTGAATTTTGCTTCATTATTTTGTTTATGCTCTATGCTCATTTTTTCAGGATGAATTTAAATATTCGCTTGAAATTTGTATTATATCAATTGTTATTTTGGTCTACAATATCCATATATGAAACTGGAACTGAAAAATGGTTGGATTAATAAATGATGTTCGTAATATATATGCAAAACAGGATATATTGCTTTTTTTTTATATATAAATTGCATAAATATACTAAAGTCCAACAATTGGTTAAAAATTTTATTCTTGTCACATATACAATACATGTTGGAACTTGTATTTTCAATTGTTAAGAAACGAATGATACTGTAAAATGACTAATTTTCACTGGGTTTAAATTTCGTTGATTTACCATTTCAGGGATATTCAGTGGGTTTTAAATTCACGGTTTTATCATTTAGATAATTTTTTGTATGCTAAATTTTACATATTCACTGGGTTTTAATTTAGCGCATTTTCCAGTCAGCGAAATAAGCAAAATTAAAACCCAGTGAATAATTAACCCTTTTACAGTACATGTACTTGATACTCTGGCTTGTACATGTATTATTCACAAAAGCTCATGGTTATATAGTTGGAGGTAATACATAGTGCAAGGGTTTGCGTTAATAACGTGTCGCATGTTTGTGGTTTGAAAAATACCTACATGTACGGTTATAATTATTCACCGACAATGATCAGAATGGCGTTGTATATCACAATATAAGCATCGCCATTCTACACCAACGGCCAGCATGAAGCAAGTTATAACAGCATGGTGCAGGTCAACAAGTCATCCATACATGTACCCATAATACATCAATTTCCTTACGTATATATGTATACATGTCAACAGCTAGTGAATACTGCGATGGGATTTTTTTTTTTTTTTGAAATTAATCCCAATGACGACAAACAAAAGCTATATTTAGCCTGGAACATCTCGCAGGCAACACTGTACATTTTATTTGAATCATTGATCGATTGATCACTATGACGTACTAGTTCGAGTTATGATGTGTCACTAAACACGTATAGATATAATAACCTTCAAAATATGAAACATTTCAGTCTATTTTAATACGGGAGGCCGAATTATGTCCTGTTAGCGATACGATACCAATGATCAGCTGGTACCAGTGTGTATGGCTGGAGTCCTTGCCATAATTCAAATTACTCCTCATGAACAGTATATAACAACATGTGGTTACCATCTGATACTTTTAAAATATTTTGTGTACACATTCCTATATGTCTTTGATGTATCGTCCGCTAAGTAGGGGTGTTTCCTTGACAACATGTCTTGAATGTGACTAGAAATTAATTTAAATGATAATGGTCATTTTAAATAATTAAAAAAAATATTTAATTTTATACATAATGGCTGTTTATTTGACAATTATTCATTTCAGTCTTGCATCTAGTTTTAATATTTTTTTTTAATTCTGTCTTTTAGAACTGTCTTCTTGTTGGTTTTCATAATTTTTTTTTTTTTTACATTCCCGGCAGTTGAAATGTTTTTTTTTTTTATTAGCGGTACTTTTAATAAATGGCATCCATTTACAAATTTATCATAATATTATATCAATATACTATGTTGGCAAATTAAAAATGAACTCAAGCATTAACGAATTCCAGATTTTGTAATTAAATTTTCATTTTATGGTGTGTTGCATTTTTAGCTCCGCTGTCGACTTTGTCGAGCGGAGCTTATCATATGAGTGATTGTCCGTCGTCGTCGTCGTCCGTGTCAATGTTTTACTTTTTCAACTTCTTCTTGAAAACTACAAGCCTGAATGCTTTGATACTTGGTGTATATGTACCTTGGGTAGACCTCTCTTAGGTTTGTTCATTTCATGTTGATATCTTCAATTCTCTAATTTTGGTGAATGATTTTTGTCATTT